TATTTCAGTCTTAGTGACTGAGCACTGTTTTTTTCCTTGTTTGTGATCCCTGTTTCATAAAATACTACAATCAGTGTCAGCAGAGGGAAGAAAAACAATTGTCTTAAACAGCCTCCTTGTCGCTTTTCATTACGACATGAGGCAATGTACATAGTCATTTTTTATTATGAAACATTTTTTTAAAACTTTTGAAAAAAAATCCACCCACCTGGTTCTGCAGCTCTGTGTAAGACAGTGTGAGGTTGACCCCATTGTCGGGGACGGGTGACCCGATGACCAGCGGCCCCGAGCTGCCGTTTGACCTCTGACCTCCACTCTCCACGCTCTTCGGGATGCAGCCGCAGCTGGAGGTCGCGACCCCGTCAGTCAACTCTGACCCCGAGTCAAACTCGCTCTCCGTGGCGGGGACATTGTCGTACACAGACTTACGGTGCGGCGGGCTGTCAGACCGGCTGGACTCCACGTCAGACATGTCGTAGTTCGTCGGCCATGTTGGTGTTCCCATGGTTACGCCGCCGCTGCCCTGAAGGGGAAGTTTTATTTATTTTTCTTTAGTTTGTTTTAATCTTGCACCCTAGATTTTTGTTAATATTTTGTGTTTCAAATACAAAAAAGGATGATGTTGAAGAAACACAAAGGAGCTCACGGCTCTGAGGTGCCCGAATTGCACCCTCATTACAAAGTGTGCAACATTTAGATATACCTGAGCCTGAGCAAACCTGAGCACTGAGTATTTAGAATTTAGAAAAAACACGATCTATTTTATGTACAATATTACAGACACAAAGATGGTTTGTCAAGTCTAATGTGCAAAAAGGAGTTGCTAAGCCTCTTTGTGTGGGCTGTTAGCTGTATGACATTTATGTAATACTAATGAAGATCCAAATAAAACAAACTAACTAGCTAACTAACTAACTAACAAACCTGTGAGCCGAGTTCGATGAGGTCGCTGTTCTCCGTGAGTGCGGGGTCGGCAGGAAACATGGCATCCTGCTCCGCGATCAGTGTGCACGTCTACCCGACTAACTAGCTAACTAACACTAACAAACCTGTGATCCGAGTTCGATGAGGTCGCTGTTCTCCGTGAGCGCGGGGTCGGCGGGGAACATGGCGTCCTGCTCCGCGATGAGAGTTTTCGTGAGCTGCCGGATCAGCGTCGTCGTCTCCATGATGTTCAGCGGAGACTCCGTCACCGGCCGCGCGATGTTCGGTCCGAACACGGTCGCGAGATTCTCTGCGGTCATGCGGTTCAGGGAAGCCTGGAGCTGGACCTGTGGAAGGAAGGAAGGAGAGAGTCAGGAATGAATGGATGGATGAAAAGCCGAATATGTTGGGAAGGAAGGCGGGAGGGAGGGAGGTAGGAAGTCAGGAATGAACGGATTGAGAAATGGCCGCAAAATGTTTGCCCAAACACAGTCAGGAGGTTCTCCACGGTCATGCGATTTAATGAGGCCTGGAGCTGAACCTGTGGAGGGAAGGGAGGAGGAAATGGGAAGTGAATGGGTTAAAAAGTGGCCGCAGTATGTTGAAAGGTTTCATGAAGGTGAGAAAGCCATCAATGCAGTATATGTTCACTCATAAATCACAGCAAGCAAAAAGAGGTTAGGAATGAATGAACGAACAAACGAATGAATGAATGAATGATAGATCGACAATGATAAAGTCTAGACCAGCAGAGGAGTTTTTCATTTCAAATGTTACCCATAAAGACTTACAACATTACGTTAGATATCACAATGAATGAATGAATGCTTGATTGATAGATGGACAATGATCCCCACCTCAAACAGAAACCTGCACAGGAACTTGAGCAGGTTTGCGTTGTCGTCAGGCAGTTGTTTGAGGAGCTGGGCTAGCCGAGACACGCCCTCCGCCTCACTGACCTTGAGCAACACATAAGACATAAGAAACTTTATAAGCATTGGCAGGCTATTGTTTATTAGCACATTATAGACAACATTACCTTGAGCAGCCTTGCGGCCTGCAGGAAACTCTCGTACTACTGTAATAATGTAATACAACACCACAGACTGTCTGCTACAATGCTAGTTACCATAGTGACAGACGTCTGGTCAAGAAGAAGAAGAAGAAACAGAGCAAAATTTCTCGGAGAACTAATTTTTTAGAACCTTGAGCAGCCGTGCGGCCTGCAGGAAACTCTCGTACATCGCGAACGGGACCAAAAATATGAATTATCACTATATCAGACACCCACCCACAGCAGTCTCTAAACTGGAGAACATGTCCTCACTGTGCCAATATCTAGGCAAAAAGAAAACATACCTTGAGCAGCCTTGCGGCCTGCAGGAAACTCTCGTACATGGCGAATGGGACCAAAAAATCTGAATTACCTTTAATTTACCAATGATTAGCCAGGAGTGTTAAAACCCAGGCTATTGTTACCTTGAGCAGCCGTGCGGCCTGCAGGAAGCTGTCGTACATGGCGAACGGCACGACGGGTTCCGGCAGCTCGCGCAGGTACAGCTTCAGCAGAGACGCAACCGAGTCCACATCTGCTTGGAGTTCCTCGAAGTCCGGCCGCTCCCCGCGGTCGTACACGTCCTGCAGTTCTTTCACTTCAGTAAGGCTGCCGGGGAGTCTAAACAAACAAACAAACATCAAGTAAGGCTGCCGGGCAGTCTGCACAAACAAACATACAGACAAACAAACATCAGTAACACGTCCTGCAGTTCTTTCACTTCGGTAAGGCTGCCGGGGAGTCTAAACAAACAAACAAACAAACACATCAGTCAGGCTACTGGGAAGTCTGCATAAACAAACAAACATCAGTAACACGTCCTGGAGCTCCTTCACTACGGTTAGGCTGACGGGCAGTCTGCACAAACAAAAACAAACATCAGTAGTTGTCTCCTCCCACAATGAGAAATGAACAGTCTCCACCTGAACAGCCCCCCTGCAGTAAGTAATGAACGTTCCCCACCTGAAAAGCCCCCCTGTGTAGTACATAATGAATGTTCCCCACCTGAGCTATCCCGTGTTTGCGTAGTGAGTAATGAACAGCCCCTCCTGTGATAAGTAATGACCAGTCCCCACCTGAACACCCCCTCCCCCTGTAGTACATAATGAACGTTCCCCACCTGAACAGCCCTTCCTGCACCACCCCCTGCCATGAGTAATGAACAGTCCCCACCTGAACAGCCCACCTGTAGTGCATAATGAATGTTCCCCACCTGAACAGCGCCTCCTGTGTAGTACATAATGAACGTTCCCCACCTGAACACCCCCTCCCACTGTATTACATAATGAACATTCCCCACCTGAACAGCCCCTCCTCGCACCACCCCCTGCCATAAGTAATGAACGTTCCCCACCTGAACCAGCCCCTCCTGTGGTTAGTAATGAACGTTCCCCACCTGAACAGCCCCTCCTGTGCCATGAGTAGTGAACGTTCCCCACCTGAACAGCCCCTCCTGTGGTTAGTAATGAACGTTCCCCACCTGAACAGCCCCTCCTGTGCCATGAATAATGAATGTTCCCCGCCTGAACAGTCCCTCCTGTGGTTAGTAATGAACGTTCCCCACCTGAACAGCCCCTCCTGTGCCATCCCGTGTTTGCGGATGTACGCTGCCGTCTGCTCGATGATCACAGGAACGGATCTGTTGCCATAGCGACGCTCGTATCTCATGGTTTCCTCCAAACTTTGGCCAAAAATTCCTGTGACAAACCAAAATTCCAGTAAACAGTTACAGTTAAAATATTTCTGTTTAAAACTACGTCAGATATTCAGTGAGCTTATCGACGTTAGACCTTTATAGTGCAATACAGGTACATCATAGCAGACAACATTGCAAATGTGCAGTGCCTCCCATTCCAGAATTTCTATCAATGGATTCAAATGGGAAATTTTAAGACAATTTTTTGTCAAAACCCTTCTGTAATCATCAATGTAATGTACCATTTGGCGGTATTTCTCATGCAACACATCACACCTCAGCAAAGTGCAACGCATATGCGGAAGTAATTACAATGTATGCCACTGCAGGGCAAAAAAGTCAGGTTGTGTAAAAAATGCCAGCAGGACAAGGGTTAATATGTATTTATCTTACCCCCTCCGTACGGAGCGTATATGACCCTGCGTATGGCCCGTATCCAGCCCTCCTGTATCAGGTACTTACCCCCTCCGTACGGAGCGTATATGACCCTGCGTATGGCCCGTATCCAGTATCAGGTACTTACCCCCTCCGTACGGCGCGTATATGACCCTGCGTATGGCCCGTATCCAGCCCTCCATCTCTGATTGGCTGGCGGCCTGGATCAGGTACGTCTCGTGGTTCGCATTGATTCGCTGGCTGCCTGGACCTGGGGAAGGGGGGGGGGTTGTATCATGAAATCGTAGTATCAGTTAATGGTGTTCTTTTTTATGTTTATAGAAGATTTAAAAGCTTTATTAACAAAAAGTGCTGACTGGTTAACTACAAACTAACGAAATACCGTATAGGAATAAAAACATTGAATAAGTCAGCTTAGTAGTAAAATTCAACTTACTGTGTACTATAGTAAGGATGGATATGAATTTACAGAATGGTGGCCATTACAATAAACAGGGCTGGACACGAACAGCTACTGGCTACAATAGAAGTACATGTACAAGTTTCTTTTGCTGACCTGGTACGACCTCGAAGAGGAACCTTGTGGGGTCATCAGGGTTGGGAGGCAGTTCCAGCACGTTGTTACCGGGCAGGAAGATCGTGCCCTGTGGGGGATGGAGAAATGGACTTTACTTCCCAAGAATAACCAGGTACAATGAATGAGATTAACTGCTATATGCAGACATACTAAGAGACTAATGGTATACCTGAAGCTATAACAAGTGTTATCGTGGTTATGCACCTGTAGCCATGACAACTGTTACCATGGTTACACACCTGCAGCCATGACAACTGTCACCATGGTTACACACCTGCAGCCATGACAACTGTTACCATGGTTACACAGTAACACGCCTGTAGCCATGACAACTGTTACCACGGTTACACACCTGCAGCCATGACAACTGTAACCATGGTTACACACCTGCATCCATGACAACTGTTACCATGGTTACACACCTGCAGTTTGCTCTCATCTTCCTTGGTGTAGTAGAACAGCTGATCTCCTCTGAGGACGAACCACCGCCGCTGCCAATTCTTCACAACTCCGCCCTGTAAACAACAACAAACAACAGAGGTAAACAACATCTCTAAACAACAATAGTTGTAAACAACAGTACTGTAATTGTAAACAACAAGAGGATCCATTGCCCTGCAAGCAGCGACAACCAGACAGATTCAAAGATTCATTTGCAGAAGACTCAGTTCTTTACCTGTTGTATGTGAGAATTCAACCTGCTTAGTGGAGAGCAAGATGTTAGTCACTTGGCCAGGGTGGACAGCTTACAAAGTATTAACAGTAGAACAATCCTGTCAGCTGTTACAAGCTGAAGCCTGACAGCTTGTCACTATAACAGCTCTGTTCTGACCCTGACAGCCTGCTCAGCTATGCCGGCCAGGGAAACAGGAAGTGCCAGCCCGTATCAGTCAGACCTTACATAAATCACGTACAGCACAAATATAGACACGGCCGCAACCGACACAGATAACAGCAGACAGCCTTTTCCCAGTCACTTCACTGCAAGCGTCACTGATGGAAACCTACTGAGGGAGGGCCTGCATGCCCTTTTTCGTAAGGTTTAATGTCTTCATAATCCGTAGGCAGCCACCCAAAATCACTGTGTAATTCCTAATCAGTACATTAGCTGTAACATATTACTGTTCGAAATCAGCTCTGAGAATTAAACTTAATTCGTAATCGACAGTGAAAATTTTGCGTAATTTGTAATCACGTACCCCCCATGCATGCCCTCCTGAAAGGGACAAGGGAGCTACCATTTCTCAGAAGGGGTGGAAACAGTTTTTGGTGTTGTTCTAAGTTTAGCCTGACTTGGCTAAACCCTAACAGTTTGCTGGGGTCAGGCTGGGTTAACGCTCTACTGCCGACAGGAGCTAAAATAAGAGCCAGGATGTTTACTGTTCAACTCTCTACCCTAACCCTGACCCCCTAAGGTCAGATAGGAGGGGTAGCTTTAAGTCCTGGGTAAGGCTTGGCTTCGCAGCACCCCCCCCTTCCCAGTACCCCCCCCCCAGCTGTTCCCTAGGGAGTAGTAGGGGGTATGACTGGTATGTGGCCTATGCTACCATACTGAGGCATGATCCACTCGGATTGTGGGGGGGTCGGGGTCAAACCAAATGACATGAGCCAGAGGGGGGTCTGGGACAAACCATTTGGATTGTAGTAGGGGGTGATCAGGTTGCTTTGGTTGTAAACGAAGAAATGTACTGTGACATAACAGTACTAGTATGTCACACATCAGTTTAGCCCTAGGCTAATTAGAGCTCCTTCATTAAAAGCGTAAGATTAATTAAGCAGTAAAAAAGCCTGATAAGCTAAAAAAAAGGACCCTGCAGCACACATGGGCCAGTCCAGAGGTCAGAGTTCACCAGCTGGTGCACCTGTCACTTTGACATGTCAAAGATGATTAACAGTTTATCTTATCTGTCTTCGTTAATGACCTCGTTACAGCATCCCCCTTCGTTAGCGGATCTTCCTATTCATCTACACAGAAATTTTGTGGATCGTTACGGGATTCTTTTAGTAGATATTAAAACTGAAATAGAAACTGCGTTATGGCAACATGTGAGAAATAAATAGCAATATACAGTTTCTAATATAAAAGCAAGAACAACAATAAGAAAAGAAATGTATTTTGCCGTTAACTAGTTCTTCAAAAACAAAGTAAACAGTATTAAAACTGAAATAGAAACTGGGTTACGGCAACATGTGTTTGAGCAATAACAGAATTCATCGTTAACATTGACAGTTTCCAATAAAAATGCAAGAACAACAACAATAAGAAAATTGTATTTTGGTGCCGTTAACACTTAAATCAGTGCACCAACTAGTTCTTCAAAAACAAAGTAAACAGTATTAAAACTGAAATAGAAACTGGGTTATGGTAACATGTGAGCAATAAATAATAATTCATAAAACATTTACAGTTTATAAAATATGCAAGAACAACAAAAGTACCAATATAAGGAACACTTTGTACATGCATTTTGATGCCATTAAAACACTTAAATCAGTGCACCAACTACTACTTCAAAAACAAAGTAAACATTTACAAAGCAACGGAGCAATAAAAAAAGGGAGAGAATTGCTGTAATAATTCAGCAATCATTAAATCAACAAACTTCATGTTCACGTAGCAAATATCAAAGGTCAAACATAGTTGCAGAGAGACCAAAAGTACACTGGTTTTGATTCGAGGTCGAGGAAACTCAGTGAAATATGAGACTTGGTAGTTTATTTTGTTCCTGACTAAACCAAATATCATATGGCAGGTTGACAACCAGGAAGTAGGACAACAAGGAACCGAATCCTAACCAGGAACCAAAGCAAATGATCATCTTTTCTAGGTCAAAGAAAGTTGTCCAGAGACCCAATTCTTATCTCTGATGTTGTAAAGTTCTAAAAAAACAATCAATGAAATTCAGTTCATGAGTGAATTATGAGACTACATTAAGATTACTGACTTATTTTGTTCCCGGCTAAACCAAATGTGACAGACTGTCAATCAGGAAGTAGGACAAGGAAACGAATCCTGACCAGGAACCAAAGTTGGGGGAAAGTTGGTCAAAACAAATTGCATTGTACTTGTGAATCCCCGAAGGTCTCGCATGTGAAGGATTTGAATTCCGAAGTCGCGTGTAGAAGATCCTAAGTTAATTCCGAAGCCCGTGTAAAGTGTGCAGAGATTGTCACCCATGTGTGAGAAATGTAAACACGTCCATGTAGCGTCTAGCAGGCTTTGGGAAGCAACGAGAAAGAGTAGAAACTTGCTACTATGACAGATAACATGTCAGGGGATCGGAGTTGAATCTCAACGCTTTCCGAAGCCTGGTAGAGGCTAGCAAACACCAGTAGCTTCTTCTTCTTCTTCTTCAATACTAGTAGCTGCTTCCCGAAGCCTGGTAGACCCGCTAATAAACCCCATGGCATGTTATCTATCATAGTGGCCAGTTTGTACTCTTTCCACACACTTCCCTAAGACTGGTAGAGGCTAGAGGCTAGCTAGTAAACACCAGAAGCCGCTTCCCGAAGCCTGTTAGAGGCTAGTAAACACCACCAGTCCCTCCCAAAGCCTGGTAGAGGCTAGTGAAACACAAACCTGTTTTGGTAGCCAGCCACTGTGTAGGGCCTTCTGTCCTGCAGGCCAATGTCTACTCTTTCTCACCGCTTTCCGAAGCCTGGTAGAGGCTATTAAATAGGTTTAATAGCTAGTAAGCACTAGTAGCCGCTTCCCGAAGCCTGGTAGAGGCTAAATACACACTTCTAAACACCCACACGAACCTGTTTGCGAAGCCAGCCGCTGTGCAGGACCTTCTGCCGGTAGTCGCCCTCCGCCATGCCGCCGTCACGCCCCGGTGCGACCGTCGGGCCCCCGGCTCGCCCCCGCCCGTAAAGCGGACAGAAATAACCCGCCGGGACAGCTGGGCCGGTCTCACGGTGCCGGACGGACACGCATATTCCGGGCAGATGAGTGACCGACCGCGCGAGCTGACCAACACTTCCGGTTCTGTTGCTGTTGTTGTTGTTCTAATGTTTAATATCTCGCCAGACGTGGTCTCTTGGTGCTGGTTTACGCTTGGTTCAGTTCAGAGTCAGCTTGTCTCTCTTTGTACCACTAAACTCTTGGTGCCTTCGTTGTGATTGCGTGATGCTGAAGTGTGACTCCAGTAGGCACCTCGGCAGCCAGCTGACCAACACTTCCGGTTCTGTGCCCAACTCAGAAACCTAGCGATCCTTGGGGGCTCTGGCATGAACAGAGCTCCGTCCTGTGTGCTCGCAACCTGAGCTGATCTGGTAGCTCAAGTCACTGAGTTTATTATAAAATGTAGCCAAACAGGGTCCTCGGAATAATATTGGTCATGAGAGTTTGTTGGTCACCGAAGATTCACTCTACTCTACTCTTATTTTGCCCGTGATGGCAACCTTCCCGTGGATTCTCCTGGACAATTCGTCCAGCCGTTTTTGCCGAATTCTGCCATCCGTATCCCCGTAGGAAGGCCTGGTGGAGGCTACTGTCCCCTGCTGTTGAAGGAAAGAGAGATAGAGAGGGCACGAGTTGGGTTTGCCCTCCCCGGACTAGTACACGTACCTCCTACTTCCTGCTCTGTTTCGTCGCTCACGGAAACCGGAAGTCAAGTGCGGCCCAAACTTTCCTGCGCTCGTCCCCAGGATGGCTCGGATGGGACCAATCAGAACACGCGGAGATGAGTAGGATCTGGGAACGAGCGTTTAAAGTGCCAACAACTTTATCAACGTAATATTTGTTCAATGTAACAATACAACCAGATTACGCTGTATCGCTGATTTGATAATTCTGGGGGGTATTTGAAACGCATGTAACCCAGTTGTATAGGGGATAGTTGTATAGGGGAAATGGAGGAAACTTGCAGTCGCCTGTAGGTGTGTGCATGCTTCGGAGTAGCAGGTGCAGTCAAGTCCCATGATGATAAGGAGCGCCCTACGCTGGACTCTCTCAATCTTATTGTTCAGCAGTGTTGTTAATCCCGGGTCCCAGACAGGAGCTGCGTACTCAGTAATGGGTCTTATTATGGAGGTAGAAAAAAGCATCCATGGTCTTAATATGTAGGAAATGTACACAGTGACAAGGCCATCCTTTGTAATGTGGAAGTGCTTCAGTCTACGTAGAAATAACCACTGGCTAGCTTTGTTGTAGACGCAGTTGACAAATTTTCGCCTGGAGTTTAGCTCAGAAAATGTTTTTAATGTTGGCAGTCAATTTCTGTATATGTAATACCGCTTCATCAATTCAGCCTCCGGGCTGCGACTGTTGTGATATAGTTGCCATGTACACATGTATTAAACATACCTGTAAGTACACTTATCGAGGTCATGTAGCACGACAGGTGGCATAGCCAAGCTTCTACAAGCCAAATTTCCACACCTTGACATGCATTGTGATACATGTAATTTTCCGTCTGAACAACAATAAACAAGACTCAACCAATATTTATTTCTCTTCACTTATTCCACGAATCTTAAGTTTTAAATCAAACCGTTCATGAGATCTTTAGGCAGGTGTTACATTTATTCATTAAATACGCATGCGCCTCCGCCACCAACACATGACGTCAGTACCTGCTGTGGGCGGGTTATTGCCCGGTTACCATGGCTACTGCCCGGTTACCATGGTTACAGACAATTTCCCGTCTGACGAGAGGTTGAGGCCCAGAAAGCAGACCGCGCCACGTCAGCGCGAAGAGAAAAGACTGAGCGGCGAACCGGCCACAACTCGCCACATTTCTCACAGCACACTGCAGGTAAGCAGGATTTGATCTCCGAGCAGATCTTTTGGTGGCTACAAGACGGTATCAAATAGGCAAGACAGAATGACATGTGTAGGGCAGTGTATTATCCAAAATAGCGAGGGAATATCTTACTGGTTATTGGCATAAATTTGTCCGCCGTAGGTTAGGGTCGCAAACAGGTAAATCGTTCGTTCTGACTTAAATACACCATAACTTGACAAATTCATCTATAATATTTGGCCGATCTCCAATGTATTTTTCAGGAATATGGCGGAGACTGTGGTGAAAAGAATTATCGCGTCTTTGAGCAACATTTGGACACTGGGACTTAAGAGAAAGTTAAAATTGAAGCCAAAACACACAGCCTTTATATATATATATATGTTACGTATATAAAACCCGACAGTGCACAAGAAACGACAGATATTAGTAAGAACAAAATGTTGTCATAATCTACTAGTATTAGCAGCCGAATTTGAACCTTACCTATACATATAGGATTTGATATCAAACGCATGAGCGCCACTATCACCTTTTTTGACGACCTGATATCCCGTTCACTATTGACCTGAAATCTACACAAAAATGTGTCACGGTGTATCTTGTTTTTCCTCCTTGCCACAGATCGGCCTCAAGATGCGGGGCCCGGTACCCTGGGCTCGAGCCGCGCTGTTCCTGGCGCTCCTGACTGCTCTGGGAACGAGCGCCGTCAACCACCTCAATGGGTGAATTATTATTTTCTTTATATTCCAATTCCAACATGTAATCACAAGACGTGGTGACGGCACACTCACGTTTTTTTCGAGTTATATTAATGCCGCCACCAACACAGGGACAATACAATACTCATTTTCACCTGAGCGAAGTGAGGAAAGTCGTGTAAAGTGCCTTTACCAAGGGCACAAGATCGGTGGCATGTCAGGACTCGAACCTCCGAGTCGCGCACTCTGCCGATACGCCACACGACCCCACGTTATTGAGACATTGTATGTATTCAGAACAGTGCTCTCCAAGCAGAGGTTTGGGCCTTGCCTTATTTTTGGCGTGTTTTAAGGCTTTTTTTGTTGGGCTTTTTGCTTTGTACTGGTGACTGGTATCTTTTGTTGGCACAAAAACGGATACCAGTACAAAAATACTGAAAATTGGCACAACCCGCACCTCTGCTTGGAGAGTATGCAGAACCGCGCAACGCAATCACGATCCAATCTTCTGTCTGACCCCGACATGAATATGTAACATTACTCTCCTGGTGAGGCTTTTCTGACGCAGTTCTAAACATGTACAGTTGATTGTTTTTTCAAAGATACATCTAAAAGGCAATAGTAGAATGGGCCGCTCCCTTTTAGATGTAAGTTATAATTATGCGGCTTTTCTGACGCAAAAAAAGGTGTTTTTTGCTTTGTTTCAAAGATGCAAAATATTATAATCTACATTAAAGGGATGATGCAATAGTAGAATGGGTCGCACCCTTTTAAGCATACATATATGCGGCTTTTTGTCAAGCAGAAACAGTTGATTGTTTTCTGGTTTGTTTCAAAGATGCATATATCTAAAAGGGCGGGTTGATGCAACAGTAGATGGGCCGCGCCATTTTAGCTTTGCAATATCTAATCCAGAATTTACAGCGCTTGATCCAATACTCATTTTCACGTGAGTTAAGTGAGGAAAGTCGTGTAAAGTACCTTTCTCTAGTCTCCACCAGACTCCTTTGCAGGCTGAATTAATAGTAGAAATAGGTATCAACATGACACATCAGTTTGCCAACTTAGCACCCCTGTTCTCCCGTTAAATTACCAGAAAGATATTAAGGACAACAACTTAATATGTAGACAGAATTAGACATGACTAGAATATTGACCCCCCTTCTGTCTGTTTGTTTGTTTTCTGTTTCCTTCAGGGCGAAGATCAAGACGGTTGACGGGAACGTGTTTTTTCTTCTTTTTTTTTCTCCATTAGTGTCAATATATATTGGGATATTGTTTTCATTCGTGTAAAGTTATCTGATATGTCATCGGAAATAAAATCTGAATCTCCTTCAGTGCGAAGATCAAGACGGTTGACGGGAACGTGTTTTTTGTTCCTCTTTTTTGATATGTCATCTTTTTGATATGTCATCGGAAATAAAATCTGAATCTTCTTGTTCAGGGCTAAGATCAAGACGGTAGACGGGAACGTGGTGTTCATGGCGGCGCGGAGGGGCGGAGACATCAAGTTCAAGGACACGCACACCGCCATCTTCGGCAACATGACCATCCAGCAGGTCATGGACTGGGTGGGCCTGCTTGTTTGTTTGTTTATTCAAGTTTCAAGTTTCAAGTTTTATTAATAAAATCAGCCTTGCAGCCAATTCACAAGTCAACCAAGCTGAATAACACTGATTTTTACAATTTTGTACATAGTAAATACAAATACACATTAACATTACAATATACAGACATATACAGACACGCAAACAAACATGTTACAAAGCCACACATGGGCACTGAAATAATAGTCCAGAGAGTCTTGAAAAGTCATTAAGATCACCATTCAAATTCCATGCTATTCTTCCTGGAGTCCAGCAACATATAAAAATATGCTAGCACAATCAGTAGGAAAAGCTTGATGGGAGCACGTCGGCAGAATGTACTGTGTAAAGCAATGTACTGGACCTGCGCAAAACCCCCGTTTTCCACGGTTTTTGTTGGATTTATGGTCAACCTTGCATCAGAATTTTGTCTGTTGCCGACGATAGTTGTTTTTTTTTTCGACAAAATATTTGGAAACTACAGACAGAATGTTAACCTTATATACGCGAATACGACCTTATATGAGACGTTCTGCCGAAGTGCTATGCACAATACATCATGGGCTTCGTGCAGGTGCAGTACATTCGGCCAACGTGCTGCTTGGTGGGCAACTATAATATTCTTGAGTCTCCAAGATGCATTTTTCTCAGCTGCAAACTTCTATATCTGTTTGTACTTAATTGATTTTTTTTTTTCTGTCCGCTTGTAAATCAAAGTTGACTTTTGCTGGTATTCTAATGGCATTGAAATGACGACTGACTGCATTTCATTCAACTCTGCCTCCTAAAAAAACTGTGAGCACTATTTGGTGCTGATATGTGTTCAGATCGGTAATCTTTCGTTTCAAATCTAAAGGAAGCTGCCGAATCCGAGAACAAAGAAATTGACTAGACCGTTCACATTCGAACACCACGTTCTATTTAATAGAACACCGTGCTCTGTTTAGAACAGCATGTTCTATTTAGAACACCACGTTCTATTTAGAACGACACGTTCTACCTAAAAGGATTTACAACACCTGTTCTATTTAGAAGACCATGTTCTATTTAGAACAGCATGTTCTATTTAGAACACAATGTTCTATTTAGAACACCTGTTCTACTTCGTAAACCTCCGTCACAATCAGCACGGGAAGGGCACTAGTACCAATGCCCCCTCCTGGGATGTATTCCTCAATAGAATGCAAAGAAGACATATGCATGGCCCTTTTCTTTCTGGCCCGCAACGAGAGTTCTTTAACTGTTGAAAGCGTGACCCCAAAGTCGGGCTTTAAAACCGACATTCTGGCGGCGGCGGCCCTTCCCGCGCTGATTTTGGCGGCGGTGTTCCGACAGACCAGGGGCGGGGCTTACCTTGTTCCGATCCGCACCCTGATCTCATTCCCCGCCTTCTACTTTTCTCCAGACTAAAGAGCAGACGGGTAAACTGGACAAGATGCTGGCAGAGGCCAACAGGGTTAAAAGAGAGGTAAGTTTTACCTTTACAATTCATACTTATTTCCGTTTTGTCCAACCTTTCATCTGTTCTGTTTTCTGTGAGGCAAATGCATCATATGTACCTTCACGTCACACGGCCCAGCTTGACAAACTATTGCTTTGTTTATCCTTACTCAAACACACTCATATATACGGTGATCATGCAGCCCCTCTTGAACTCAGTTCTGCCCGGCACTTGCAACATTATGTAACCTAACACCAGTTACCATGGTGACAGACGTCTGGAAGAAGAAGAAGAAACTGAGCCAAAACAAAAAGTTTTCCTTTGGTAAACATAATGATACATAGTTGGCATTTCGGGTATGAGCGTTCGTCGTCAGTGAATACTCCTTGAAGTGTTCTGATATTCAAAGGCGCCCAGCAGTTTGTTTTGGCCCCCGTCTCGGCTGAAGTGTTCTGATATTCAGACTGTATCCTCATGTTTTCGCAGGCGAGAGCCGTGAAGGAAAAATACGACAAAGTGATGGGCCAAAAGGGCGCCGGACGGGTGAGTAGCGTTTCGTTTCTAATGAACGTTAATTTCAGGCTCAATCAAAGTTTTGTACCAGCAAATTTGCAACAACGATTCGGCAACTAATTTGCCACACTCCTCAGGTATAAACGTTGCTACTCCTTACTGCATGCATGGTGGTGTTTTAGCAACTAGAAGAGTTGTGCCAACACGGACTACACAGCTAGCGGAATTGAAATGGCGCAAAAAAGGGATGAAAGCTTTATCAGACTAAAGGCTAGTGTTGTTATATGCCAAAAAGCAGTTACTCAGGCAACTGGATATGATTTTGAAAACGTCACACGTTTCAGCTAGTATCCACTAGCTTTCGTCAGTGACTGAGAGACCAGAGGGGAAATGCAGGTTTATAAGCACAACCTATTGATTGATATGCAAATGAAGTGAAGACAAATTTTTGGAAGTCTAAAAAGGAACAAAAGTATTACCTGGATGTCTAACCTTCATCGACGTAGTGTTGTTATAGTTCCAGTTTTGAACGTACCCTCATTTTTTCTCTCATGCAGGAGCGGCGTGCAGCTGAGGAGGCTCCGCCGGAGAACGCATCCGGGGACGGCGAGGCCGGCCCCCCGCCGCCGTACCCTACCCGCACCGCCGACGGCCCCGACCCAACCGCCCGCCCCGTCCCGCGCTCCGTCCCGCCGCCCCTG